GCCGGGGCTGCCGGCCGGGTGGCTCCCGCGATGGCGGCGGAAGAGGCGGCTGCGGCGGGAGGTGAGGTTGCGGCCGGCGGGGCGGCAGGGGCGGCTGCAGGTGGGCGGGGGACTCCCCGGACCGGGCGACGCAGGGTCTGCCCAGTTTGCAGCGGGGAAGGGTCGGTGCTCGTCCCCTCGGGCCGCGTCTCCTCCGAGGGGCTCTGGGGCCAAGGCCGCCCCTGTGACACAGGTGCGGCGCGTCCTCGCGGGGCGCGCATCGTGCGGAGAGAGGCCCGGGATCGCTGCCCCTGCAGCCGCGTTTCTTGGTCCCGGGCCGGACGTTTTGGCGACTGCGAGCCGGCAAGGGACCGTCCACCTGGGGATGGTCAGCAGCCTCCCTCCGCCGAGCCCTGGGCGCCCACCCGGGCATCTGCACGCACGCCCTGCTGCGTGGACTTCCTAGATGTCGGATTCCTTCTTTTGCGCAATCCATGGAAGGAGCTCGGGTTCTGTCCCATTCCCTCAAAACTGGAGATACTCGCTGCCAGTCCCCGCTTCAAAGCCCGCCCCACGTGGGGGCACAGGCGGCCGGGGCGGCTCGCGGTGGAGGCGGGTCCAGCACGTTTGTCACACTCCAGAGCCAGATTGCTCCGTGACCGCCTCCGTAAGCGACAGGCGGCCCTTGTCTTTCACCCGTGGGGCCGTCGGTGGGCTGTGCTGGTTTCCTTGTATATTTTTGAGGAGTTTTTGTGAATCGAGTTGGAGGTTTTGCTCTGTCTTTTCCTCTCGCGAGTACTCTGACAATGTTCTGTGGTTTCTTTCTTGGGACCATGGTGAATGAATCATTGTGAATGATTATAAAATAGCTGTTATTTAAGAAAAATGGGAGGTGGAAAAAAAAAAACACAGAAATAACTACAGGAAGACTGGCAGAGAGAATTTCAGGTCTCCACTTTCCTTTTGGAATATGGTGATAGTTTTAGATTTTTCTCTGAAATAAGGCACTTGAGCACAGGTGGCTTTCGAAATTCTAATACAGTTGTGGGAATTTAGGTCATGGGGAGGTGTCAAAAATTCTATCCATTGAATATTTGTAGTTTTTCCAAATGGTATAAGGACGTGGGTAAACCCTGTGCTGAAAAAAGAAGACGGGGTGTATGATGTTAAACTCACACCTTTCTCTGCTCTGGCTTGTGACTGAGCTCTGCCCTTGACTCTGTCACCGGGGTTATTTAAAATCCCTACGTCTTAGTTTCCTCACCTATAAAATAGAGATAACTGTAGTATCTGCTTTATAGGATTATTAGGCATAAGTGAAATATAAATGCATATAAAATGTTTACCCAGTACTTGGGAGACAGTAAGTGCTCCGTAGACTTAAGCTTGATGTCGTTATTAATTTATAGCTCCAAGTTGCTTTGTGAAATTAGTGAATCCTCTCTTGTCTGTTAAGAAAATGTTGTCCCATGCGAGTTACAATTAGCCAAATTGAAAGAATGTTTGGGCTTCTCTGAAAAAAGAAAAGTGAAAATGTACCTACTAATTCAGAGAATAGCTTTCCTCAGATAAGTCCTATGGGCTTATGATAAGCTTTTAGATAAATAGTTTATTGCTCTTTAGCTGAACACAAAATGTGAAGTTGGGAATGATCAAAATTCATCTTTCTTGGGTAAGGCTGGCAGTGTTTCTGTGGAGGTGCGGAGAAAATATTGAGAGGGCCAGCATGTATTGAGGACCTACTGTGTCCCAGGCGTTTCACTTCATTAATTTCACAGCAACCCTGGTATTATTTCCATTTCACAGATGAGAAAACTGAGGCTAGCCAAATCATACAGCCAGAAAGTGACAGAACTGGAGTTAAAATCCTTGGCTACCGCCCCTGCTGCTTTCCTTCCTTTCCTGTCTCATAGTGTGGTGGTAATGAGCAGATGTGCTCACTTCCAGACACCTCTTTATTTAAGGAGTGGTAAAAAACTATTTTTACCGCTTCTCTGCATCCCCGGAGGGAAACCAAAAACAGGTCTCTATATCAGATTCCAGGGCCATGTTCTTTTTATATAAAATCCCAGAAGATTCCTTTTTCCTAGGCATTTGACATCAGGTCCCTCATGGTAAAATAAAAATCTACCGCTGGTGGTGGGGGGACTTCTATATTTTGGCTTACACTGTTAAAAGCCTTGGGGCTGGTTTTGAAGATGGCCACCCCAAATTAGCTGGTGCCGAACATAGTTGCCTGCTCATTTACGGTTTTTTACAGGCTTATGGTACTGGGCATGCTCCTATAAATGGTTCCAGAATCTTGGAGTTAGGGAGATGGCAGACTGACTGCCAGAAATGGTCTGGAGTCTGGGCCCCTGTATGGCAGCTTGCTCACCTTCCCTTTTCTTAGCACCCCATGTTCTCACCTGTGATGTTGTCAGACTCTTGAGGTGTAGTTTTGCAATCGTAGTGGCTTAAATTCATTTTTGTGACTCAGAAATCAAAAATCATGTTCCAACTAATTTCGCCTAAGCTACCGTTCCTGGCCTGGATCCCTGGGCAGTTTCAGCCGGAAATGCATTACTTGAGATAAGCCAGGATGGGCTAATTACTTTTTACATGTTTAAGGAGGAAAGAGCAGAAAAGAGAGGAGGGAGTAGAGGGGTGGAGAGGATAAAGGAGGAAGAGAGAAGGCAGAGGAGAGAGTGAAGGAAGGAGATGGGGAGGAAGGGGTGAGAAGGGAGGGAAGGGGGAAAGGGATGAGGAAGAGGAGGGAAGGGGAAAACGAGCAGGAAGGAAAGGAGCACTGGGGGAAAGAGTGAGTGAGAGGAAGGATGGGGAAGGGGAGGTGCACAGAATGTTGGAGAGAAGGAAGGGAGGGCAGGGACTGCCACCCTGTCAAAGTTTGCCTCCAGGAAAATCAAATAGAAATGTGATGTTTAAAATATGTAGGAAAATGGGCCGCCCGGTGGCGCACTGGATAAGTGCGCCGCTTGGGAAGCGCGGTGGCGCTCTCACCCGAGGGTTCGGATCCCACATACGGACTGGTTCCCGCTCACTGGCTGAGCGAGGCGCGGGAGCAGCACCGAGGGTTGCGGTCCCGTTGCCGGTCCCCGGTCTGGTATGGGCATGACACTGAGGGTTGCGATCCGTTGCCGGACATGGAAAAAGACAAAAGACAAAAAAAAAAAAAAAAA